CAAAATTCAGCTTTCTACCTATCATAGTTTTTAAGTAATCTTGGGACCACGGTAAAATCCCCATGTTTGGGCAAAAATTTCGGGTAGTTCCGGTAGGCCGATTGGGCTCAAATTAGATTTAAAAGAAAGATCAACTCAAAAACTATATTTTAGGAAAATTTCATATCAATATCTCTACTGGTTCCGAAAATATCGAATTATGACCGCCTAATTTTGTGTTTTGTCACACTGTGCGTCGGTCTTCTCAGCCAAGCTTCCAATTATCTGCAAAGAAATATTGACGCCATTTACAGAGAGTTTTTAAACATCGAACTAAAAATCAGCATAAAGGCAACTAAAGTTATGACTGGTGCTTACCGCGCACTGTGTATTAGCTTTAATTTAAATTTAAACCAACAGAACATCGAATATGTTAACACCTTTAACTACCTTGGTAGCATAATCAACTACTTAGGGTGGGGCTGATAGGAACATCTCGGCGCGCATAAACAAATCTAAAGCTTTATTTTTCATGCTACACTCTATCTGCGAGTCTTGACATATCTCTGTAAAAACTAAGCAAAACATCTATAATTTCAACGTCAAACTAATTAGAATTCATCCTCTTTTATGGATGTAAGACGTACGCCTAGAACCACTTAAAACCGCCAAAAGCATTTTTCAACAAATGTTTGTGTTAGATTCTCAACATCTAGTGACCAATGTTGGTGAGCAATGCTAATCTTTGGGATGTCACCAACCAAATGCCAACATCTGAGAAGTGATTGGCAGACCTCTCAAAACATTGCTCATCAAGCACTCAAATGGAACTGCCAGGAACTGATCGTCTTGTTGGGATACCTACTAGAATATGACGAAGGATAGTTAATGCAGAATTGTAAGCAGCAAATTATTGTTGAAATGACATTAATCAAAAAGTATGTAAAAAAGAGTTCGGTAGTGAAGGTCCTATGCTCTACTGAGAGGAAAGGATAATAGAAGAAGATACACAAAATAAATTTGTAAATAATTTGATCTTTTATATTTGTATATAAAGTGTGAAAATAGCCAAAGATCTTAGGTATTTAACCAGGATATCATATCAAGAGTTATTGCATGCAGTTCGGTTCATGCAACTTTGTAAGAATACATTAAATAGTCTTCAAGAATATAGGCGACAGTCTATGTCAGGTGGTTGTAAAGACACTTTACCAGAGTATTATTCCAATCACTCCGGAGATAAGTGAAGCTGATAACCCCGACAACACTTTACATCGCTACAATATTTCTATTTGTGTTCTTTTACAAATTAAATTTATGAAAATATCTTCTTACTAAATATTAACTTTTGATTTCATTAGTGAATATTAAGACACCCACTAACATGCCAACATGTATATACTCATCGGTTCATTTCAACTAACAAAATATTGGATTCATATCCTTATCAACAAATTAATTGCTTTCAGCGTTATTCCAAGTAACGGAACAAAGTATCGCTCTGACTTGTTAATTTTCCTCTGAATAAAGCAGAAATATTATTATGTACTTTCAGCAGAAATAAATTAAAAATAGTAATAAACAAAAATGAACCGAGAAGGGGAAGTATGACGTAAAATATTTTCGTTTTTGATGAGATTACAAAATCCCATTGAAAGTGAAGTCAAATTGAAAGTCGTTCCAGTTTCCGAAAATGCCAATAAGCAAAGTTAAGTGAATTCAAATGAGTTTACAGCTTTTAAACAGTGTTCGTTCTCACCGCTCCAAGAAGCTACACTAAATTGCAAAGGAAACAAATTATGATTAAGTACAATGCAAAGACACATTAAAGGGCCAACGCAAATCCCGCTTAAAGGCATATCCTGATGCATTAGCGCAAAGCGCCACCTGTCAAAAGGACGAAAAAGCAAGCGTGAAGGGGAGAAGCGAAGTGTAGGTATAACGCATCGAGTAAATTAAATACCAAAAAAGAAGTATTAAATATCCTGAAATAAATACTAAGGACAACAAAAAAAAATTGTGTAAGAAAACAGAAAAATCCAATAAGCTTTAAATTTTATCGAACGACAAAAGGGCAAAGCTTAAGTATAAATAAAGGAAGAAAATGAAATTTCTTCCTCATGGAAGCTTAAGATTAAAATTTTCAATACAGTTTTAAGGGATCTGAAAATTGCTTGTGTATAAAAATTAATAAATTTTACTTATACCATGAATGCTAATAATTTTTGACACTGATACGACATATTTTACTAGGGATTAACCAAAAGCTTAAGTTTGTCCCTTAAAATCAATAGATTTTATGAAAATTTTAAACCTTTGTCGAATGAATGAATGTTTAACATACATTTTTTATACAGAGTTGATATTTGGGGTTTTGTGAAATTGATGAAGAAAATCACTAAAAGGGAAAAATAGTTAATAAATTTAATAATCTTATATAATAAATATGTACAGTTTAATTGTTTTGTGAAAAATACCCAAAGCACTTAAAATTAATGGTAAAAATTTAATTTTCAATGCTAAGTGGAATTGCAATTTTTAAGTACTCATTAAAAATGTGCTTAAGAAATATTTTAGATATATATTTATAGATGTGATTTTTAATGTCCTCATAAAATGTGTCTGTATACATATGAACTTCAATAATAAATAATACACCAACTAACGTTCTGTCATAATAATATATGAAAGTTATTTTAATTGCAAAAAATGTGTTTATATATAAATTATATCACTAGAAAAAATTCTTTAGAACTTAAGTAGGTTTCTTCTAAATTAATTATATAAAGTATCTTTAACTACCTTTCGCAAACTTAAATACAATTTGAACTAATTATAAAATTACTTCATTCATTTGTATGACCAAGAGAAAGAAATTTTCAGACAATATTCCCTCAAAGAAACGAATGATAAAGAAGAAACATTCGAATAAATTACGACATTTCAATCTATATGGACGGCACGAAAATAAACTGCGGTGCAGGACCAGATCTCTTCACGTCATCTACAAGCATAAATAATTCCCTTAGGCTACCTAATGAGACCACGGAATATCAGGCTGAAATCTTAGCCATTAAAGAAGCATGACTGCAAATTGTTAGTTACATCAAGAAAAAATATAGTGTTACCATTTTCATTGACAGCCAGGCAGCAAACAAAGCACTTGAATCCTTCATTACAAAACCCAAGTTAGTAAATGAAAGTAGAGAGGCAATCGATGAGCTAAACCTAATGGTTAATATCACCCTCATCTGGATTCCTGAATATGGAAATTTCGAAGGGAATGGGAAATCTGACAGTTTAGCTCACTCCATTGCTTCCCTGGATGCGTCTCTAACTATACCGGTTTTTATTACCCTGGAAAACCATTAAGAAAAGTATTTACCTTTATTTTCTTCAGTTTGCCAATAACAGAAGGAGGGCACTTAGTCATGCGCAAGTGGTTAACATGATCCACTTATAATAAAACAAAATCCTGGGAACTTATGCCATAATCCAAGAGACTTACCGCAGTTCTTTCTGGTCATTGGTGGGTTCCACGCAGAGAAACTGCGCATTCCCCATAATCCGCTCTACAGATGTTGTAGAAACCTGCAGGAAAAAGAAACTGAAATTCTTTGGCGTCCAGAAGAAATAAATTTTTAGAAAGATACGAAAGCAGTTTATCAAACTGTTCATCAGTAAAGACGAAAGACATATTAAATTATTTAAATTCGATGGGATGAATTTAGTCTGTATTCTTCTATCTTAGGGGTTCTTGCGAGGATATGGTAGTAAAATGGCTAAAAATTGCCAATTATCTAATGGCTTGCCACTGTAACTATTCAATCAACCATGACCGAAAATGTTTCCCAAAAATGATTGTCTAAGAAAATCGAAATATAGGAAAATAATTTTATTAAAAAAAAACAGTACTTGAAAGCAATAACAATAAAGTTGAGTTTTAATTAATTCATTAATTAATTAAGTAATTTGTCTTAAATATGAAATCGTGACGCGTCTTATGACAAGAAGAAACTATTTAAAAATTAGAATGATTCGAATAGAAATGAAAAAACAACAACATAAATTTTAGTTAATTTATTGAAATTTGGCTGACCATACAACGCTGTTTCGAGTATTGCCAAGTACTTATCATCAGTAGTCTAAGGAAATATTCGAATTTCTTTTTGATAAGTTTATAGTCTGTATTTTGTTGGTTTGCACTGCAAATACCAGGCTAAAAACTCGTATCTGTCAAATTAGAAGCGATGACTAATCGTGTTTATTCACACGAATTATTTTTGTTATGTTCATCTTAGTAATAAATATACAAATAGGGTATTAAAATTTCCTTTTGCTTAAAGATGTTTTGTTGGAATATATATTTTTTTAATTATTCGATTCAATTTTTTCGCTGTAATAATGACAAATTATTTTGTACCGCAGGCTTATTAGCAATTTCCACAGTAATTGATGAAATAATTGCCATTTTATAAACGCCTAAAATTATATTGCCATTTTTTGAGATACAATAATAAGCTGCTATCATTACCCTTAGAAAAACAAGGCATGAAATACAAATAATTTTCCGATACATATAGGGTTCAACTCCTCCCAGTCACACTCAATACTGTTTATCAAGTTAGTAAAAATAATGGAATAAACAGCAAAAATGGTGCTTGCCATGACAGTCTTTGCGTATAAAAAACTTTTGAATAATTTATCTTCGTTTAAAAATACAAAATAATTTATTAGCTTTCTGCATACTTTGCCTAAGCACACATAAAAGGAAGACATTACAGCTTGTAAGCAGCTATGTATATTAAATGTATCTACCAGATACATTGGCATGTGTTGACTAAAAGTGAGTTTGTGTGCGACTAAAAGGTATCAAATTGATAACCAACGATACCAAATTCAATTTCAAAGAACTTTCATTTTATATGCAATTTAAATATTTAAAATGTGTTTTGTGTAATATTTTTATAATAGCGCCCGTGTTTAACTTGGCTTTTTTCTTTTTAATTTTTTATTTGCAGAAAAATCTCATGGACTTGAAATATCCAACCGTATTACCACCGAATCCTCAGCTTAAGGTAAATTTACTTAAACGCCATGACTAATAAATTTAGCTTTGACTAAACTTTTGCAATTTACTTCTCAGTCCTCGTGCTTCAAAATGTTTATCTCATTTGTTTTTTTATCTTTTTCTTGTTCGGTCTCTGTTTACCTTTTTCGAAACAAAAATGTTAACAAAACGAACCAAAAAATAAAAAGGCTCTACTTGTATTTCATAAATCGGACAATATCTGTGAAGTAATGACACAAGCGTGTCATCGCCAACAATTGGACGTAACTGTGGTGAAGACAAAGGAGGCAGCGCTTGAGATCCTTTCAAATACAAACACCACAGCGGAATGCTATCACTTAATTGTAATTGATGCGCGCTCAACCAAGTATTTGGATGCTGAGTACATTACCAGGTGAGTAGGAGTAAGAGTAGAGTAATATTCCGCATAGCATCATAGCCTGAGAGCAGCATTACGTGGGGTGTGGTATGTGGGGCAAATGCAGAATATTGGGCAAATGAGGTTTTGTTACTAAATCGTTTTTAGCCCAAACGCTAATAATGATGATGATGTAATGATGTGTCTTAGTTGCCGGCTGCAGGTTTTTAGTACTGAATTCAATTTTCTTAATGGCATTTACCGTAGCTTTGCTGGTTTTGTACAATTTTATTGGGTGCAGATTTTAAGGACACACTTTATTGCGTTTAAATTATTTTGCCCTTAAATTCAGTAAATTTATATAATCAAAACACTTTAAGATAACATATTAATCCTAAGTGGTTTTCGTCATTAAGCCCTTTTTGTATTTTTAGGTCAATTCGTCACACAAATGGACATCATTTCACAACAATAATTACAGTTGTAAAGAAAAGGTAAGTTCTTATATAAATAACAAATAATATTTTGACATTGAATTATATTATATCACCAAAAGATCTACTAGTCTTTTAACTCTTTAACTTCATAAAATACAAATACTTGTTAAATTAACTTTTTGAAGTCAATTATGACGAAGGTTAGGTCAGGTTCAAGTGTGAGTCTGTGGTAGACTCCATGTAGAGTGTCAATGGGTCCATGAAATAACCGTAGGGGTCTTGTTTTTAAGGTGTCTGTTCACCTAATGATTTGTTTCCTAGACAGTTTTTTATGACACCTGTATTCCTGATTCAAGAGATAACTTACTTGAAACACTTCAACCAATTTATTTTCTTTAAAAATTTATAAAGCTTCCGATATTAGTTTCTGATACGATGGGTTGAATAACAA